CGCCTGTGGCTCCGTAACGAATTTGTTTCGTATTTGAGCTTTGTTGTCAGCAAGCCCCAGTTACTCTTGCCTCCCTTGGCATAATGGGCCAGTGTAATACGAAGAAGCATTTTTTTCACAGGGGAAAACAGCTTTCCTGATTCATATGAGAAAGGTCCCAGCATTACTTCATGAATGCTCCCTTACTAGCTTCTTGCATCAGTCTCTGGCGTTATCCTCAATTCTTCTTAGACTAATGTATACAGTTTTTTTCCTGTTTTCAAAGGACCATCGTCTCACAGTTTTTGCTTTTGTATTGTATGGCACATCCTCGGGTGTATTAAATAAATAAAATATAAACCGTGTTTTCAAGGGCAGTGAAACAGTTTCGAACTTAAATATCCCTGCCTCTCAGCCAGACCAGTCTTGTACAACTTCCCAGGCTCGTTCAGTATCACACGGTCGATGAACTCTTTCCCTGAATAGAGCAGTGATTTTGAAACTCTTGTGTAATATAATGTTGAACAAAGCTGAACCCACGGAGCTTTTGAAGAAAAATCAGGCAGCTTTTTCAAGAGTAGTGAAGAGCCATTTTCATGAGCCCCATTCGATTTGACACCTCGAATTTCCAGCTATTTCCAGTCATTGGAACGTCTTCTTGAAGAGTGCTAGGGTGCTTTGCCAACTCACGATGTGCACGAACCAGCTCAGGATCTCGCTAAAAAATACTTGCTCAACAGTTCCCGTCAATCAGAAGGTAACACTCAACTGGAACAGATTATTTATTCATGCGTTCTATGACGCGCCAGCTACACAAGACGAGGTAGGACTGACAGCGAGACTCAGAAGAATCCTTACTTTATATAAAGCACTAGCGTCTGTCTGTCCGTCCGTCCGTCCGTCCGTCCGTCCGTCTGTCTGTCTGTCTGTCTGTTTGTACAGAAATTCATAACACATGTCTCTCTGAACCTAGAAAGTTCAAATTTGGTGGTAGTACCCAGATACGGTGGGAACACATATGGTGGGTGGCAGGACCGGACTCCGCCCACAGTGGGCGGGGTTTGCGCAAAATAAATGTTTGAGTGGAAAATAATTACTCCTGTCTCAGTGGACCTAGAAAATTCGAATTTTATAACAGTACCCGAGGCAGGCTGGGAACACTAGTTGTGGGTGGCAGAATCAGGCCACAGAGGGCGGGATTTGCGCCAAA